GAAATATTCTTATAAGCAATGATGGAATGCTGCTTATGAAAGTTTAGGCAAATATAGAAAATGCATTCTAAAAAGAGACTACATAAATGGGATGAAGAAATCAAATAATAATATTGAAGAAAAATTGGCATATAACGGATGGTTAAACACACAAAAATCAGAAGACTGCATAGAATATATAAGATTAAAAGTTACTGCAAGAAAAGAAGCTCAACAAAGACATGGCATTGGGATACTTTTATTTCATACCTTGATACAGATCTAAATAGAGTAAGAACATGTGCTTTCAAAATTCTGAATTACATGAAAAGAGGCATAAAAGAATCTGTTAATATAACATACTGCTCTAAAGAATGATTCTTAAATTACTACAGGGAACTATGGCATGATCGGACTTATGATGAAACAATACTGACCTCAGAAAATGACAATGAAAATAATTTTACACAAGCAAAATTAGAAATTGTAATGGAGAAAATAAAAATGGTAAAACCCCAGGGGAAGATGGAATGAACTCTGAGCTCTACAAATATGCTGGAAATAAATTTCACAACCGACTTCTGAATTTCTTCAACATATATACATCAAACGAAATCCCGACAGAATGGAGAAGAAGTATTTTTATTCCAATCTATGAGAAGAGTGACAAAACAAATCCACAGAACTACAGAGTCTTTTAAATACCTGCTGCAAAATATATAGTACATTACTAACTAACAAATTGAAAATTTTTGCAAACAGTTTACTCTTGAACATCAGAATTGTTTTAGGAATGGTAGAAAATGTATTAATGGTATATTTACTTTGGAACTGCCAATAGAATGAACACAGAAATTTAATTTAGAATTTAGATATCTAAAAAAAACCTCTGATGTCGTAAACAGACCATTATTGTTCAAAATAACAATGAAAGGATATTATAAATCAGAATCAAATTTAATATAGGAGAAGGGAGAGAAGATGAGAGTGAGAATTTTTACAAACAATTAAAGGATATAATTAGTAAAGTAAAGTAAACAAAAATTATTACATAATAGTAGCAAGCGGCCTTATTGCTAGAATAGGAAACACCCCAAATGATAATGTAACTGGATAATTTGGAGAACAATTTCTGAATAGGAATAGTCAGAAACCAGTAGATTTTTCGTAATATAACAATATGAGAATTATGAACTCATTTTACAAACATAAATAAATTCGTAAGTACACTTGGTCTGCAAGAAATTTACGATCCATTAGAATTACTTCATAAAAAATGTAAAGAAAGCAAAACTATTTCTCAATGTTAGAACATATGGAGGACACTAAATTGGCTCTGATCATTATTTAGGCAAGGCTAAGCTTAGATTCCCACCTAAATGATATTCGATCAGAAAAATAAAAAAAATGAAAGAAAGAATTCTTTTATAAAGTTAAATTATT